TCAAATACGAGACTCAAGAGAAGCAAGAAGAGGTAAACAGGAAAGAGAAATCATAAGAAACTTATTAAAGCTGAACCATTTACATTCCTACATGGAAAGATGATACTGTATGAGACTTTTGTCAGTATTAGGGTAGTTGGAGAGAAAAAATTAGATAGATAGATAGATAGGTAGGTAGATAGATAGATAGATAGATAGATAGATAGATAGATAGATAGATAGATAGATAGATAGATAGATAGACGGATGGCACAGGGTAAGTTGAAGATGAAGGGGTGATATCTAAAAATAAAATTAAGGGGTGAGAGAGGATTATACTGGGAGAAGGAGAAAGGGAGAGGCAGAATGGGGTAAATTATTTTATACAAAACAGACAAGAAAAAGTTTTTACAGAGGGGAGAGGAAGGTGGGGAAGGTGAGAGAGAATGAGTGAATCTTATTCTCATCAGATTTGACTTAAGGAGGTAATAACATACACACTCAATTGGGTATGGAAATCTATCTTACATACTGCAGGAAAATTGGGGGAAGGGGATAAGAGAGTGGGGAGATGATAGAAGGGAGGGAAGATTGGGGGAGGGGTAATCAGAAGCAAACACTTCTGAGGAGGGACAGGGTCAAGAGAAAATAGAATAAATGGGGGGGGTGGGATAGGATGAAGGGAAATATAGTTCATTTTTCACAACATGACCACTACGGAAGTGTTTTGCATGACTACACATGTATAACCTGTATCGAGTTGCTTGCCTTCTCAATGAGGATAGGTGGGGAGGGAGGGAGGGAGGGAGAGAATTTGGAACCCCAAGTTTTAAAAACAAATGTTGCAAATTGTTTTTACACGCAACTGGGAAATAAGATATACAGGGAATGAGGTATAGAAATCTATCCTGCCCAACAGGAAAATAGGAGGGGAAGGGGATAAGAGAAGTGGGGGGGGTGATAGAAGGGAGGGCAGATTAGGGGAAGGGGTATTCAGAATGAACACCATCTTGAGTGGGGGAGGGGTAAGATGGGGAGAAAATTTGGAACTCAAAATCTTGTGGAAGTGAATGTTGAAAACTAAAACTAAATAAATTAATAAAAGTGGAGGGGAGGGTCTTTTCTCACTTTCTTTGGGGCCGAGCTTGATTATTATAATTCAGCAGCACTCAGTTTGGTTGTTTTGCTACAGTCGTTATGTGTATGTTGGCCTCCTGGTTCTGCTGATTTCACTCTGCATCAGGTCATAGAAATCTTCTCATGCTTCTCTATGTTCTTCTCATACAGCCGTGGTATCCCCTTACATTCTGGTGCAGCTGCTTGTTGGGCCATGTCAGTATATTGATAGATGATAAACAGTAATAATCAGCAATGACAGCCAATGATCTTACACCCTAATGCTTTGATTAAAGCACATTCAGCAGTTTTTTTACCCACCTGCCCAACTATCCATAGAACATTAGAGATTAATAGCTTCATAGTGACAGGTCTGTCTAGCCAGATGAGAAGGATGAGGTTATTATAACAATAACAATAATGGAAACAATGGCTCATATTTACATAGTGCTTTAAAATGTACAAAGCACTTTTCCACACAAGAGCCCTCTGACATAAGGCAGTGAAAATGTTATTGTTCCCAATTGGCAGATAGGGAAACCGAGGCACAGAGATGGGATGGGGGGAGGAAGGAAGAGCTCTGGATAGGGAGGCTGCAAGGTACAGTATAAAGAGCAATGATTACATAGTCAAAGGACCTGGGTTCAAATCCCACCCTGATGCTTCCTGCCTGTGTAATCTTGGACAAGTCACTTAACACTCTTGGGCCCCAGTTCCCTCATCTGTAAAATGTAGGGGTTGGACTAGATAACTGCTAGATAAAAAGTCTTTCCAGCTCTATACCTATGATCCTATGGATCTGGAGTTCAAAGCACTGGGCTCAAATCCAGCCTCCAAGGTTTATTGGCTTCATGGGGCTGTAGGCAGGCTACTAAACCTAGGCTTATCACACCAGTATAAATTCATATACTTCAATGGTTAAAATTGTTAAATAACTACGTTAGGCCAATGAGCTTTGGAGGCAGGATTTGAACCCAGATGCATCTTCCATTTCACATCTTCCAATGTTCTTTCCCCATTTGTGCAGTGAAGTGATCTCCATCGAATCTTGCAGAAGACGGCCTGATCCGTTCTGGCCATCCACGGCCCCATCTAGTCTCCTGTTGAATCTGTAGCTGGAGAGCTCACTCTGGAAGGTACCAGAGCCTCATTGGAGCCCAGCCAGACTCTTTCTGGAGAGTAGGGCTGGCCAACATCTGGAGATTTTGCATGCAATTACTCATTAGCCATCGCTTTATACGTTGACCTCTAGCATTTTGAAATTTTAACAAACCTCCAGCTAAGCAGATGCAATTTCCTCCTTTTGAAATAATTATTACCTTTGACTGCTAAAGGAATGTCAGTAGCTTCCCGTGAGCCCCTAGGATTGGGATAGAGAGAGATCGGGGGGGGAGGGGGGAGTCAGTGAATAAAGCAGATTTTTCACCACATCCTAGGAATTCTGTGACTGTGTGTTACTGCTCCATGTACTTTATAAGGCTTCTCTGAGGGGTTGGGGTGTGTGTGTGTGTGTGTGTGTGTGTGTGTGTGTGTGTGTGTGTGTGTGTATGTGATAGCCCCAGTAGAATGTGAGCTTCTGGAGCTCAAGCACTATTTTTTATCTGTGTCCCCAGGACCCATCACAATGCCTTCTGCATAGTAGGTGCTTAATTAAATGAACTTGGCTCTGAAGAGGAAATGGGAAAAATGAGAAAATGCAAGCTTTCTCCCTTCCTTGAAAAGGTGACGCAGTGGCCACGGAACTCTGCATAGACTCATCTGATGTGCCAAATGTTTCTGGGAACTTGGACAAACCCGTTTTCCCCGTGCCTCAGTTTCCTTATCTGTAAAATGAGGAAGTAGGACTAGATGGCCCCTGAGGACCCTTCCAGATCAAGATCTGGGGTCCTATGTGTCAACGAGTGTTACTCCAGCTGATCTCCCCCCTTCTTTATTCCTTGTTCCATGCAAGGGATAGATTTTTGGGTGGGAGAGAAGGGAGGAGTAGATTTAGAAATAAAGGTCAGGTTAAATATATATATACATATATATATATATATATATATATATACCCACACATACACATATATGTATGTATATATGTATATATCTTTATATATATA